CGCCTTTGTAGAATTGTGACCTTCCTTTACACAAAGAGGAGAAAAGGAGAAAGATCTTTTTTTTTTTTTTGGGGGGGGGGTCTTTTTCATTTTTATTGGTACCGGGGATCTAACTCATGACTGCCTGCTTGCAAGGCTTTTTTTTTTTTTTTAAATTTTACTTAAAAGGAAAAAAAGAAAAAACAAAACAGTGTAAGGGTACAAGTAATACAGAACTACAATAAAAAAAAAAAAAAAACCAGTAAGAAATCACCAGTTAATGGATTACACAATGTCATCTTAGAAATAGTTGCTCAAGTCACAGGATCAAAGCATACAAAGTGGACATTCAAACAGTGAGACTGCAAACAGTTGTGTTCAATGATCCAACAAAACCTCAGTAATTTGGTCATCTATTCTAACACACCTAAACATACTTGCAGTTGTATACTTCAGAGCACTTTTTTTTCCTCTCTTTTTTTTACAACAGAATTTACACATTTTGGGTTTTATTACTCCCATAGTTCTTATTACTTTTTTTTTGGAAGAAAATAAAACCAAATATGACAAAACAAAGCTGTCTGTCAAAACCAAGGATAGACATAGCACATGATGTAAAAACAGAGTACAAGGTTATCAACAATGGTTACCATAATGCCTCTTGCTTCCTTAAAAAAGAATTGCCTATATCATTAGGTATAATAAAGTTGAGCAAAAACAGTACAAAACAAGACCAATAAAACTTAAACATTGTTAACATTACAGAGCTTCAAAAGAAGATAATAGGCAAACCAGAATGGGCATCATAGTGAATATTATTGCCTTCAAAGTAGTTGCCTATACCCTCAAACTTGGTACTATCAAACAGAACGGAACAGAGTCTAATCAGTCAAAACAAGATAGTGGGAGTAATACAGGACTTAAAATCACGTTAATAGGAAATTTTAAAAGTTACTATAATAAATCCTGCTAATTTTTTGTTTTTCCCCTTAATTAAAAAATTAAAAAGTAAATAACTTTTTTTAATGAATAAGGGGGAGATTGAGATAAAAGAGGACATAACAACATAACAATACAGGTCAAAGCATGACCATTTCAGCAACCTAGTGCTTCACCACCAAATTACCCGACTTAATAGTAGTTACCATAGTGTCTTTTTCCCTGACATATTTGAATGTAACTTCATATACTATAGTATCAAATATATCAAGACAGTGTTTCATCCACATTCAAGTGGATGAAAGTATTACAGGGTATTTAGAACCAGCTAACAGAAAACGAACAATGGTTTCTATATTAGAAAGATCTTTTTTAATTGCCTTCAGCTTAAATGAGTCCTTATGCTAAAGTGCCCTGTTTTAGGGTGGCCTATTCTACCAATCTTCACAAGCACCATTTTTATGTTTTCACATTCTAAAGACAATAGCAAAGACATCAATTGTTAATGTTTTAACCATGGTATTTTTAAACCTTAAAATATTATTCTAAATCTAGGAAGTGAATAAGAAATCTCATTTAAACTAATCAAAATTCTTTTTAAGTTTGTTTTGTTTAGGCATGGTTCAGTGTTAACCTATGTATTTCTAAATTACAGACTTTGAGCATAACAAAAGTTTCACAAAATAAGTCTGTTTATGTAAAAAAAAAAAAAAAAACCTTTGCATTATTCTGTATTTTATTGCTGGCATGCCTTGCATAGGAAATTGAGTTGTGATATCTTATGCTTTACATAATGTCTGAATCTAGTATTGAATGAGATGAAATCAGATACAAAGTTAAAATAAAATTTCATAGCAAATTTAAAAACTTTGAACTTTAAATTTAATTTTATGCTCTTGATGTTGGCGTTTGAATTTTAAGGTACCCATTACAAATATAATAGCAATATATCCAATAATTGATAATTATAATAGTAAACTTTGAGTTTAACAAATGTGTACATAAATTGATTTATAATTTATTTGTACAATATAAATTTTAGTCAAAGTCACATTGAAATAAATGTACATTCTGAAATAGAAAAGTTCACTGAATATGAATTTTGAAGCGTAAAAACTTCTATGTATTTTGAGAGCATGGTAATTCATCCTGAACCTAATGGATCCTATTAATATAGAAATAACACATAGTTCTTCTGTAGTGATGAAAACAAACTGTAAAAGATTAAATCTGATGACCAAGAAAACACGTAATCACTGTGTATGTATTCTGAAGTTTGCCTGCAGGTAAACTGCCTTGTACTAAACTGAATTCCTAGCAAAAGAATTTGTTCTTCTGTATCTTTTCTTCAGAGGCTAACTGCAGATGATACAGCAAATCAACAATCCCCAACATTATGTAAAAAGTCTTATTGGCAGTAAAGCAATATTACTGCAAAGATAACTAAACAGCATGCCAACAACAAAAATATAAAGCCTTTCATTTTTTATATAATTGGAAACATAGTTATAAAGATATATAGAATTTTTGAGCTGAGGAAAATCTAAAAACAATACTTCCCATGATGTGCACTGGGGATAATCCTGACCTAAAGTTCACTTATTATATACAGCGGAGTACAGGAGGTGACTTGCCTGCTGCCCTTGTTCAGAGATCTATATACTGGTTACTTTTAGCTTCAGCTATTTCTAAGTTCAAGGGTTTTCCATTTCCTATCATCTTCCCCCAAACTTTTTAAAGTTCCAGTCTCAATTTCAAGTACTCAAGACTGTTCGAGGCCACTGAAGCATAAACAGTTCTCAAGAGGCCTTAGAATATACAACCAAGGAGTTTTGGGCTGAACAACAGGTGAGCAGCCTCTGGACCTCTCAGCAAAGACTGTCTGCAGTGCCTTCTCCAACACAACCCTGTAGCATGAATGACAATGTGTCTTACTCAGAGAGTGGAGCTGGGGAATCACTGGAAATACTCTGGGCCTGTCCTCACAGCTGCCAAACTGTGCCACACCCTGGCCAGACGCAAGCTTCACTTGCTGCGGCATCAGGTCCATCTCCTTTCTGATTCCTCTGAGCATCTGTAATCTTTAGTTTATTTGGAAGTCAAGAACCAGGTTATTTATCCATTCATTTCTATCTTCATGACAAAAATATTATAATCTTAATCTTTCATAGCAGACATCCGAGAAACACAGATTGAGTAACTCTTATCCAAATGCTTGGGATAACATTTCAGGTTTCAAATTTCATATTTTGGGGTTTTGGAATATGCAAAGATAGATAATAAACTATCTTGGGAATGAGTCTCAAGACCCATTCTTTTATGGATACTTCATACATAGGATCTGACAATAATTTTATACAATATTTCTTTTGTGCCTACAGTTTCACTGCACCTCTTCACTAGAAGTCAGGTGTAGAATTTTAAAATTATGCTTCTGTGTTTAACTGAAACTCAAAATATTTCAGGTCAGGAATACTCTGAAGTCCAGATTTTCAGTGGGAATGATTTCCTTATACTAAAAGGTGTCACTTGAGGATAAAAATTTGGGGCTCTTGTCTCAACTAAGAACTCAAGATATTTCAATATGTAAAAATGTACTTGTTATTTTGAGTGTGTTGGTATTTTCTGGAAACAGTTGAGAAACAAAGAATTATGTGCCTTCGTGTTCTGAGGAATGGTCAAGAGGATAGCATAGAAAGCTGTCAGATAATGTGACAAAGTGCCTCAGCATACAAGACACAGCTAAAAGTACAGTCTGTGTAGGATCAAGGCCTTGCTCTACTACTAAATATTTTAATGAACTTTGGGCAATTTAATTTACTTCTCTATGACTTTTTTTTTACCTATATTGTTTCCTTATGCCTGTTGTAATGATTTACCACAAACTTTCTGTCTTAAGCAACAGAAATTTCTTCCCTCGCAATTCTGAGGCTAGAAATCTAAGATTTTTATCAAACACATTTAGAGATGTTGGCAAAGCCAGGCTGACCCCCAAACTTTAGAAGAAAATCCTCCTTTGCCTCTTTCCTCTTCTGGTGACCACTAGAAGTTCTCAGCTGTTGCTGCGTCATCCCAGTTTTGCCTCTGTGATCACATTGTCTTTTCCTCTTTGCTCATCTCCTGCTGCTTCCTTCTTATAAAACCACATGTGCTTGTAGACGGAGACTAGCTGTCTAATTCAAGGTGATCTCCCCACTTTGTAATTCTTAATTTAATCATGTGTGCAAAGTTTTCTTTGACAAATGAGGTAAAATGCACAGCATTCTGGGATTAGGACTAAACATAGCTGTAGAAATGATTATTCAAACTACTTAGAAAGTAAGTTAATATTGGAACCCTTAAAAGATAGACAGTTATATTTCCAAATATGAGGGTTTCATATCGACGAATTTACACTGTGGTTAAAGAGACTAAAATGAAATAAAATATTTCTGTACTAAAAATGTGATAATTTTTCTCATTATTCACAAAATATTAAAGTAGTATAAAAGCTATGCATACAATATTTACATTGTATTAGGGACAGTAAGTAATATGGTGATGACTTAAAGTTTATTGGAGAATTTTTATAGGTTATATACAAATTTTATAGAAGGGACTGGAGCATATATAGATTTTGGTATCTCCAGGAAATCTTAGAGTCAATTCCCTGTGGATATTAACGGACAGTTGTTGTATATGAAATTTGCTTATAATAATGTTTAGCATACAATAAAGCAAATGTGAACTTGCAGTGATAATCATGTTAATTATAATGGTGCGAAAAGAATACACAGTAAGAGATTTGAAAATAAGCACAATAATTTTTATGTAAACATATATGGAGGCTCTCATCATCAGACTTACTGGAATGCTATCCTTATCATGTTACTGTTATGCACATGATTAAATCTCTACATTGAAAAATAAGAATCTAAATATGTAGGCATGTGATACTTGTAGCTATTTGTGCTTTTTCCTTTTAACTTAAAACTGATACCACTTCAGTAATTTCTCCTCTTCTGAATTCTTTTTAAAGTCAAAGCAAATATGTGATGTAACGGGATTGTCTCCTTTTGCTTTCTTGTCTCCTGTCCATCTAGGATACAGATCTGATGACATTCAATATTTCTGTACACCGGTCATGGTGGAGGGAACACGGGCCTGGCTGTGTCCGGAGAGTGCTGCCTCCATCAGCCCACAGCATGATGGATGACTACACATATGTCTCTGTCACAGGCTGTGTTGTCGACTTCCAGTACCTAGAGGTCATCCACAGTGCTGTCCAAATATTACTTTCTGTAAGTGTCATTTTTGTTTCATTATCTGATTGGCTCCTTAGTGGAACTTCATACCTACATATGTGATAGAGTTACAGATTAACATTAGCAATGGAAATATTAACTACGATATCACTGATCATACATATGGTTATCTCTTTTTCTTCTTGGTATATAAGCATTTTGTTTATGAACAGTTGGTTGCTATAGTATAGTTTCTAACTTTTGATACAGTGTACACTATTTAGTGAACATCACTATTTCCCAACAGTGGTGCCTTGTTAGGTACTTCAAACTCTGTTTCTAATCCACTCTTCTACTAATACACATTAGCTCCAAAAAAGGAAAGGTAAAACCCTACTAAGCATCATTTTTCACATAATCAATCTTAAAACCACTGTGGAAACCAGTGTGGCAATTCCACAGTAAACTAGAATTAGAGGTCCCATTTGACCCAACTAGTTCCCTTATGGGTATTTTCCTAAAAGAATTAAAGACATAATATCACAGTGACATGTGTGCACCTATTGTTATAGCAACACAATTTGTAATAGCTAAATTTTGGAAACAATCCAGATTCCCATCAACCACTGAATGGATAAAAAAGATGTGATATTTTTATGCCATGGAGTACTACTCAGCTATAAAGAAGGATAAACAAGGATTTTATAGGCAAATGGATTCAACTAGAGAGCATAATCATAAGTGAAATAAATCAGACTGAGATGTGTGAACACTGTACTGTATCCTTCATGTAAGATCTAAAAGATTAAATAAAGTCCAAAAGGTAACATAAATATTGTGAAAGAGAATGAAACTGCTCAAAAGGAAAGAATAAGTGAGATGTGGAAAAAAGAGAAAAGAGATGCTTATATATTGTAATTTGAGCAACTATTTTGAAGATAGCAATATGCAATATAGTGACTATTATTAATTTGCTATCAGCTTATTTTGAAATCCTATATCAGTTCTACTGTTTTGTTTTCTTTTAATCTTTTTAAAATAAAAAGTAAAATTTCAAAAAAAAAAAAAAACTATAACAAAATACAGACCAAATCCCTCAAGAAACTCTTAGCATGGTGTTAGGATACCACACGAAGAAACAGAGAAGAGAACTGCCTTGAGTAGATTGTGGAAGGAATACGTGCCAGAGTTTCTTTTAGGGTAAGTTCCTTCCCCTGAACTGTCCTACCCACAGTTTCGTTTATTTGTTTGTTGTTTTCACTTTTCTTGTCTGCCTGGTTTATTATTTATTTAGTCTTCACCTAGCTTCTCACATTATCAGGAGCAGCTCTTCCATTATGTATTCCTCAGCTTTCGATAAACCAGACCTGGACAAACTGCCTAAAAAGATCCAGAATCCATGCATTTATAACCAAGAAGGTAATTATAGTGCATGTCATTATTTCTATTCTCATTTCAATATATTTTTTATTTAAAGAAAAAAAAACAAAACAGAGAAAAGAGTAGAAATAATACAGAATTTTGAAAGAAATTAACGCTAAGAAATCACTAGTTGATAAATTACATATTGTTATCCTAGAAATAGTTGTTCAAGTCCCAAAACTAGAGCATTAAAAAGTGGGCACTCAAACAATGAGAGTGCAAATCGTTCTGTTCAGTGATCCAACAAAAACTGAGTGATGTGGTTATCTATCTTACACACTTAAACATACATGCAGTTATATCCTTTAGAGCATTTTCCTTCCCTTTCTTTTTTACAATAGCTAGTACACATTTCAGAACTTATTACTCCTACAGTTTTTATTATCTTTTACACCAGACAGACAATGTGATATTTATAAATGATTATTATTTATTTCACTTATGTGTATGGTCTTCAGTTGCTTCTATTTACCTACGAAGGCCTCAAGATCATCCTTTTAAATATTCTATTATATTATTAATAGTATTGAATAATGTTCCATTGTATAAAAATACCAGATCTTTTTCGTTCACTCAGTGGTTGATGGGCATTTTGGTTGTTTCCAAGATTTAGCTATTACAAATTGTGCTGCTATAAACCTGAGTGCACATATATCACTGTGACATGATATTTTCAGGTTTTCTGGGTAAGTACCCAGGAGAAGTATAGCTGGATTGAATGGAATCCCCAGTCCTAGTCTTCTGAGTAATCTCCATACTGCTTTCCATAGTGGTTGCACCAGTCTTCATCCCACCAACAGAGGAGAACAGTTTCTTTTTTCCCACAGCCTTGCCAATATTTGCTATCAGTTGGTTTCTCGATGGCAGCCATTCTTTCTGGAATGAGATGAAATCTCAATGCTGTTTTAATTTGCATTTCTTTAATGACCAGTGATGGTGAACATTTTTTTCGTATACTTACTTGCCATTAGTATGTCTTCATCTGAGAAATGTGTGTTCATCTCAGATGCCCATTTTTGGAGAGGGTCTTTGAATTTGGGGTCCTGATGTTTTTTTAATCCTTTATATGTTTTGGATATAAGTCCTTTGTCCGAGGGGTTGCTGGTTAAATTTTTTTCCCATTCTATGAGTTTTCTTTTCACTCTGTTGGTGATTTCTTTTGAAGTGCAAAAACATTTTTATAATATTACATCCCAGTTGTCGGTTCTTTGAAGTGCTTCCCATTTGGTTTCATTTTGTTCATGAATCTTCTGCCTACTCCTATATCTCCAAAACCTCTACCTACCTTGTCTTCCAGTAGATTTAGTGTTTCTGTTTTAATATTTAGATCTGTGATCCATTTTGATTTTAGTTTAGGGCATGATGAATGGCACGTGTCTAGTTTCAGTCTTCAGCATGTGGAGAGCCAATTTTTCCAACATCATTTACTAGAGATGCTATCCTTCAAGTGAATATGTTTTGCTCCTTTGTCAAATATCAAGTGAGTGTCTTTGTAGTTGTGTTTGCATCTTCTAATCTGTTCCATTGATCCTAAAGTCTATTTCTTTGCCAGTATCATGCTGATTTTATCACTGTGGCTTTGTAGAATAGTTTCAAATCAGGAATTGAGATGCCTCCTGTCTTGCCTTTGTTGCCCAGAATTGCCTTTGCTATCTAGGTCTCTTCTGTTTCCAAATGAATTTTAGGAGTGTTTTCTCTACATATGCAAGGTATGTTAATGGTATTTTGATTGGGATTGCATTAAATCTGTATAAGAGTTCTGGGAGAATATTCATTTTCACAATGTTGGTTTCCAAGATTTAGCTATTACAGATTGTGCTGCCATGAGCAAGGAATATCCTTCCATTTCCTTTTGTCCTCTTCAATCTCCTTTTTTTAGCATAGTATAATTTTCAACACAAAGGTCTTTTACATTCTAGGTTAGGTTAATTCCTAAGTATCTCATTTTTTTAGATGCTACTGTGAAAGGCGATATTTCCATAATTTCTCTCTCAGTGAGTTTTTGTGTGTGTGTGTGTGTGTGTGTGTGTGTGTGTGTGTGTGTGTATTTGTATAGGAATGTTATTGATTTTTGAGCATTGACTTTGTATCCAGCTACACTGCTGAATTTGCTTATTAACTCTAGTAGTCTTTTAATGGAGTTTTTTGGATCTTCTATATAGAGTATCATGCCATCTGCAAATAGTGATAATTTAATTTCTTCCTTTCCTATCTTTATTCTTTTTATTTTTCTCTCTTGTCTGATTGTGCTGCCTAATATTTCCATAGCAATATTGAATAGGAGTGATAGTGGACATCCTTGTCTTGTTCATGATTTTACAGTGGAAAGCTTTCAGTTTTTTTTCCATTTAAAAGAATGTTGGCTGTTGGTTTGTCATAGATGGCCTTTATGAGACTGAGGTAGAAACAATGTATTTCAAGTTTCTGAAGTGTTTTTGTTATGAACAAATGTTGCACTTTATTGAAAGCTTTTTCTGCATCTATTGAGATGGCCACATGGTTTTTGTTTTTAGCTCTGTTGATGTGGTGTATTACATTTATTGATTTATGTATATTAAACCATCCCTGTATTCCTGGAATGAATCCCACTTGATTGCGATATATAATCTTCTTGATGATTTTCATTCTATTTTCCAGTATTTTATTGAGAATATTTGCATCAATGTTCATTAATGAGATTGGCCTATGTTCTCCTTTTTGGTTGGGTCTTTTAATGGTTTTGGTATCGGAGTAATACTTGCCTCCAGGAATGAGTTAGGGAGGATTGCTTCCCTTTCAATTTCATTGAAAAGTTTGAGTATTGGCATCAAATCTTGTCTAAATTTCTTGCAGAATTCAGCCACGAATCCATTAGGATCTGGGCTTTTCTTTGTTGATAAGTTTTTAATTATATTTTCAATTTCAATAGCTGATTGGGTTGTTCAAAATTGCTATATCTTCTTGATTGAGCTTTGGTAATTCATATGTTTCTTGAAATCTGGCCACTTCCTCTGTGTTTTCCATTCCTATGCAAATAGAGGTTTTCAAAGTAGGTCTTCATGATCTTTTGAATTTCCATAGGATATGTAGTAATTTCTCTCTTTTCAGTCTTATTGCATGAATTTTGATTTTTTTCTTTCTTTTTCTTGGTAAGGTTAGCCAGAGGTTTATCAATTTTATTTATTCTCTCTCTCAAAAAAAACAAGCTTTTTGATTCATTAACTCTGTATATTTTTTAGTTTCAATTGCATTAATTTCTACTCTAATCCTTACAAATTCCTCTCTTCTGTGAGCTTTGGGTTTAACTTGCTCTTCTTTTTCTAGAAGCTTGAGATGAATCATTAGGTTTTTATTTGTGCTCGTTCTGTTTTCTTGATGTGACAATTTATTGGTATATATTTTCCCTCTTAGGATTGCTTTTATTGTACCTCACAGGTTTTGGTATATTGTATCTGCATTTTCATTGAATTGTAAGTATTGCTTAATTTCTTGAATTTCACCTGTAATACACTGATTGCTTAGATGGTTGTTATTTGATTTCCATGTATTTATACAGATTTTGAAATTTCTCTTGCCATTAATTTCCAATTTCAGTGCACTATAGTCAGATAATATGCATGGGATAATTTCACTCCCTTTGCCTTTACTTAAGAATG